ATTACTCTGAATAAAATATTTTTCTGCCAAACACTCTTGGTTTTATTGGATTGTTAAAAAGTTCCCCTTTTGAGGGGTCACCCTGTATAAATGTTCTTTTCGTTTCCATTTTCGATAAAACTTCAATGTTGCTCGTGTGTTCAGTCCATGGTATTCTTAGCATCTTTCTGTAGAACCACATTTCTGTTGCCTCAAGTCTCTTTTACATCTGTGATTAAATTATCCAGCATTCACTGCCATATAGGAGTATCGATATTACGATGCTAAGTCAAAAATTATCTGGACTTACGTCATAATATATCTTTAGGTTTGTCCCCCTGCCTTCTGCTCATGCGTGCTTATAGCCGGTACAATCGTGGTCACGTGATCGATGTTTGGGCTTGATCGCAACAGTTTTGTTGCTGCTGTTACAGTGTAAACTTGGCCGCTCTGCTAGCAGTGTGCCCCAAGCACGAACAAAGAACAGTGATCCGACTTCTCTGGTTGGGAGGCGTGTCAGTGGGGGTTAAAATTCATCGGGGGATTTTTACACAAAACGCCGACAGTATACTGTCGTGTCGAAGTTTGTGTGAGTGGATTGAGAAGATTAAAGGTAGGTGGACAAACGTGACGCACAAAGAAGGAGCAGGACGCCCGTCGACGTTTACCAGTGCGAGAAGATTCAGCAAGCTCGCAAGATGGTAATGGTGAACCGGAGAGGTATCATCGATAAAGTAGCATGTTCTCCGTAGATTCAGATCACTGCTTTTCGTTTCTCCTTGGTGCACACTGCTAGCGGAGCGGCCATGTTTACATGGTAACAGCAGCTAGAAAACTGGCACGATCAAGCCCAAACTTCTATCACATGACCACAATAGTACCAAAAACACGAATGAGCAGAGGAGCAGTGTGACAGCAATGTTATCACGAAAGTTCGGATAATTTTTGATTTACCCTCGTTCATAACAGTTCAGTACTCTTTTCTTTGATTCCAATAAAAGTTTCCTGATTTTTAATGTGATAGACGGTTTCGTATGTCACAACGAAGGTGACATCTACCATTTTGTTCTGTCTTGTCTTGAAATATATATATATATATATATATATATATATATATATATATATATATATATTTTAGGTACCCCAACTCACTTTCGATGGAAAATTGTCGAAGAACTTTCAGAAAAATTAATTCTGTCATTATCTTCGTGCCATTAGTAAGAGTAGGTGTAGAAATGTTCTCGGCTCGACCATTTACCCAAAATATGATGAAATATCAAAAAAGTTTTCTTTTTCATTTTGGAAGTGCTTCTTCGTCGAGCGGATAAATTTACAGCTCTCCCTCGACACAAGAAAATCTGGATAAAATTCTGATAAAAAAAAAATGTGTCCCCGATATATAGAATCGTATATAAAACAGCGTGATGTAATCATTTGTCTGAAAAACATTTTGTGCAAGAAACACCCAGATTTTAAAAATCAACGGAGTTTCTGGTCATTATTGGATTTCAAAAACGTTTTTGGTTTTCATTCATTCATAATTAAATCTATTTATGGAAAGTGTATTTGTTTGCTTGTTTTTAAGAAAACGTTTCTTGGATTATTTTCACATCAATTAGACCCCATGTCTTGATATTTGAAATATATACACGCATACACACAGGAATATATATATATATATATATATATATATATATACGTCTTACAAAGTTGTGACTGGAAGGGATAATTCCGAGGAGGATATAAATCCAGAGAGAGCTCAATGTAGACTACAGAGCATTATAATGATAATAAGTAAACGGAGATCTTAATTATCCATTTCGATTATAAATTTATTTCGTGAACACCGAGATGATAAACTCTTCGGATCGAAATCTCCTTCGTATTTTTAATCGTAATGTATAATTAAAATCTCCGTCTTCTTATTATCATTATATATATATATATATATATATATATATATATATATATATATGTATATATTGTGTCTGTGTGTGTGCGCGCGCTCGCGCGCGCGTGTGTGTGTGTCACTAAAGTCTGGACACAAAAAATCTTATTAACTATATTTTTTTTTTTTATCTCTACAGATTAAACATGGTTTTGTCGAAAGAAGAAAGAATTGACATCTTTTTCTGGGGTATACTAAAGGAGAAGGTGTACTCAATGAAAATCACAGATGCAACACACTTGACTGAACGCATAAAGAGTGAATGGGTTAAAATGACCAGTTATTGCATCTAGTTTATGTGAATCTTGCAAAGCGAATCAACCTTTGCATCAAATGGTGCATTTCATATTAAAGATGTTATCTGTTAATATTCCAATTCAATAAGATATTGATGAAAATTTCATTTCTTGAAAATATGCATTTTTGCTTATGTGTCCAGACTTGAGGTTAAACCTGTATATATATTTCGAATACCAAATATTTTTTATTTTCCCTTGCTACTCACTTTTGACGATAGATCACCAAAAAACAGTAGAAAAGTTAATTCTTTTCATAATCATTTTGCCATTTGTACGAACTTTTGTTGCAATCTTTTCGGTTCGAGGTTTTTTTGTGGGTAGTTATTTTTGTCTTGTGGAAGATTTTCTCCAAGACGGGCCGACAGCTCTTCAGCACCGTCTCGCAAGAAGAAAGGCTGGAAAAAATTCTGATATAAAATTTATTTGAACCAGAGATATTTGTATTTGAAATGTTTAAACTGTGAATGTGTTTCTGCATCTGTGTACGTTTTCCGGTGCAAATATCTTTTAATTAAGAAACTCTTTTTTTTTTTTTTAGTTTGCTTTTTTTTAAAACTTTATTCTGTCCAGCTTCAATTCATTTACAGTTGTTTTGTTTTGTTTTGTTTTTTTTTTTTTTTTTTTTTTTTTTTTTTTTTTTTTTTTCATACGATTAAATGCCACAAAGAAAAATAAATTACATCCTGAAGAACATTGAACACACAAAATAAATAAATAAATAAAATCAACAACAGTTTTTGTTTTCTTTTTGTTTTGTTTCTGGGTTTTTTTCCAGATATTGAAAGTTAAATGTCATGAATGAATAATCTGTAAAATAATCGATTTTAAAAATATAATACTTTATAAAAAGCAACGTAACTACATCAACAATATAATTAACAACAAGAGAAACAACAACAAAACAACAACAACAACAACAACAAAACAACAACAACAACAATAATATTAACTAGTAATATAATATAATCAATGTAATATTCATATCATCATCATCATTATTAGGCCATTATGATAAAAACCATAACAATATTAGTCACAGTACTAAAAGCAGGAGTAATTATGTATTATTTATGGAAATAACAATTATTTTTCTTATTCTTTTACTTGTTTGGCTTTCATACCAGGAGTACCCTGGGGCCGTTCCTCGTGCAGATCAAATAACAGCAAGTCTTTTCATTACTCTAACACCCACAAAATATTCTTGCTGAGCTGGGTTATGCTGTCCTCGGCATGGCTTTATTTTTTTCCTGTGATTTTCAGTTTTCCAGTTCACACACACACACATATATATATATATATATATATATATATATATATATATATATATATATATATATAGCACCCAAATCTTATACAGGACACGGTACAAAGAAAGAATCCAAATTGTGGAGGCTGTCGTTAAAAAAAAAAAAAAAGTAGCAGCCAACATTATATAAGGTAGCTTTCTCCATAGGGGACCGTATATGAAGTGTGTTTAATTTTTCTTTTTTAAAAATAAAGCCCGAATAAAAAAAATGTCTGCTTAACCGTTTATATGACGTCATATTAAGTTACTGGAAATTGGTTCCGTCAAACGTGAGGACGCCGGAAGTAAAAACCAGTTGCGTAACTACACACAGAATAATCCTTGAAAACAAATGTACTAAGATTCGAAAGTACTCAGGAAATATCAAATAAAAGTTAATATGCATTTTGGCAAATTTACCGATAACACAAAACAACTTATTCGAAAATTTGAAAGAATAAATAAAAAATTGATAGACAGAACTTGTCCATATTATTTAACAAAACTTGTTTAATATACCGCTCTACGGGACCATTCAAAACGTGGATGCAATCGCCATCTTTATATCGAATTTATAAAATCTGTACCTTATTATTAGAACTCGGATAAATCTAATTCATCCGAAACAAAAATTATTTCTCAATCTCAAAATTTAATTATAATTGTAGTTCAATAATTCCTGTCTAAAAACTAAATGTTAAAAATAGGGGTTCCCCGGAATTGTTCCTTTATAGAAGGTGTCCACGAGCTTTCAATTCAAAATCCCTACTGTCGAGTAACTTTTTTGTTTTTTTAGTATATACTATTGATCGGTATACTCAAATGTAAGTCATTTACACAATTGCTAGTGGGTCGCCGTTCCTCCTCAGTTATATATATATTTATACTATCTGAGATAATTTACTATATTCAATCATCTGATTGACGCGATTTTTATATGATATTTTGTCGAATCTGTCTATTGTCTTTCTGTAAATATTAATATTAAAATAGTAACAAAAATCAAGGAAGTAACAGACATAAATGAAATATCTCTAGCCATGATGTTAGTAATAATGATGATAAGAAGAAGAATAGATAACTGTAGTATACATGATTGTACTATTAGTAGTAGTAGTAGTAGTAGTAGTAGTAGTAGATTTAATTGTAGTTATAGTAGTAGACTTGTGTTCTGGAAAATAATAACTCTTCAACAACTAATAACTGTTGCATGAAACGAATATAAAGTGCGATAATGAATCGATCGATTTTTAGAAATCGTACATCCTTCATCGATGTCGCTTATATGATTGCCAAAATTCCACTAAATAAAACTTGATGGCGGAATAAAAAAAACAAACAAAAACTGCAAGAACAATAACTATGTCACCATTTCAATTCAACCAGTCCAGAACACGCGCCTAATATTTGCTTAGTACTTTAGTGAATTAAGATGAAGAGTTGATCAAATTTACGCTGAATTCAATCATTCAATATTTTCCCATCTCAGGTCTTTTCGTTACCCTATCTAACTCTCCGTCTGACCGAACAGAAGTTTTGCTGTCTTTCTCTTCTCTCTATCTCGTCTTCTGTCCATTGATCATTCTGTCTGCTCTCGCTATCTTTCTCCTCTCTTCTTCTCTCGCAGACAGCCTGCTTGCTTGTGCCCGCCCCCACCCCACTTGCTCTTTTTCTGACCTTTCTGTCTTTCGCTCACCCTTTCTGCTCTCTCCCACAGAACGTCTGCTCTTTTGCTCACCCTCTCTGCTCTATATCTGTCTATCCATCTGTCTTTTTTGTTCTCCCTCTCTCCTCTCTCTCTCTCTCTCTCTCTCTCTCTCTCTCTCTCTCTCTCTCTCTCTATCTATCTATCTATCTATCTAACTATTTGTCAATCTGGTTATTGCTCACACTCTCTGCTCTATATCTGTCTGTCCATCTGTTTTTTTTTGTTTTGTTTTTTTGGGGTTTTTTTTTGCTCTCTTCTTCTCTCTCTCCTCTCTCTGTCTCTATCTATCTATCTATCTATCTATCTATCTATCTATCTCACTTTGTGTTCATCTGGTCTTTTGCTCACCCTCTCTTCTTTATATCTATCTGTCCATCTGTTTTGTTTTTTCTCCCTCTCTCCTCTTCTCTCTCTCCCTCTTTCTCTCTCTCTCTCTCTCTCTCTCTCTCTCTCTCTCTATCTATCTATCTATCTATCTATCTATCTCTCTATCTTTATCACGCTGGTCTTTTGCTCCCTTTCTCTGTTCTCTGGATATCCGATCTGGAATTTTGCTCACCATGTCTATATCTGCCTGTCTGAACTTTTGCCCACCGCCTCTGTTCTGTGTCTGGCTGTTTCCTCTTTTGTCCATTATTTCTCTTCTCTCCTTCAGACCGACTACTCTTTTTCTGGCCATTTCTGCTCTATGACTGACCGTCTGGTCTTGTGCTAGCCATGTCTCATCTCTATTTGACCGTCTAGGTTTTTGCTTACCCGCGCTGCACTCGGTCTGACCGTTTCGTCTTTCTGTCTCTTGTTACCAACTTTTCTGGCCAGTGTCTAAAAAATATTAATAATACTCTTTGGAGATGAAAGTATTTATAGCAACAAAAAAAAAGGAACGGTAAAATGTCAAGTTCTGATGAGAAAAAAATCCCAAGAATAAACTGCCGTTGTGTGTGTGTGTGTGTGTGTGTGTGTGTGTGTGTGTGTGTGTGTGTGTGTGTGTGTGTGTGTTCACTATGCTTAGTTTGGCCTGACCCAGGGAAAGATAGAATAAAGAGGAAGCAGATTGTTGTGCCAAACCTCCAGCAGAAGAGAGGCTGTCTTGTAAACTCAATTATTCAAATTCCTAG